CTCCTCGAACTTAGCATTCGCTTCCTCATCCGTCTCAGCAACAATCACCAACGCACCCGCAATGACCTTAATATCCTGCGGGTTACGTCCAATATCTGCAGCCTGTTGACGGATACTATCAACAGAAGGACGAACAAGCTCTGGCTTCTGCGCATGCAAGAAAACAGCCTCGGCATGCTTCGCCGCGAATGCCTTACCCGCCGTCGAAGTACCAGCCTGTAAGATAAATGGCGTCCGTTGGGGACTCGGCTCACAGAGATGAGGACCAGGAACCTGGAAGTATTTCCCCTTGTGATTGATTTCACGGACAGCCTTTGGATCCGCATAGCCCTGTGTCTTGCTCTCGGAGCCCTGTTTCCAGGACACGGCATCGTCTCTCCAAGACGCCTCCCACAGCTTGTAGGTGACATCCAGGTACTCATCGGCGATGCGGTAGCGCTCGTCATGCTCGACCTGTGTGTCAAGACCGAAGTTTCGAGCTGCAGAGTCGAGGTATGAGGTAACGATATTCCAGCCAATACGGCCGTTGCTGAGATGGTCTACTGTTGAGAACCGTCTTGCTAGGGCGTAGGGGGAGTCGTATGTTGTTGAGGCAGTTACGCCGAAACTGATTGATTCTGTAGCTGCTGCCATGGCGGGGACGCTGTAGAGGGGGTCGTTGATTGGGAATTGGGCGGCGGCGGGGATTGTTGGGGAGAGGTTTGAGGGACCTTTGTATACATCGTAGCCTCCTAGGACGTCTGCGAAGAAGATGGCGTGGAATTTAGCATCTTCAAGCTTCTTGGCTAGAGCGATCCAGTGCTTGATGTTCTTGTAGTCTGCGCCTTGGTCTGTTGGGTGACGGAATAGACCTGGGTTTAGGTGACTTGGCGATTGCATTGCAAAGGCATTGATGATGAGTTGTTTCTTTTCGGAAGACATGGTGATGGGTGTTTGTCTGAGAGGAGAGGATGGGATTGAATTAATTTAATTGTTTTACAATAGCTTTGGAGGGGTAGCTTATATTTATTGTCCCTGCATGTACAGTTGTATCTATGAACCCCGCGACGCATTGCCGTGAGACGCGCAAAAAGACGTGCAGTTGGAGGCCGATGGCGTCAGCATGTGTGGGGTTGCACATAAATGACTATTGGGGTTTGAGGACCTCGGGAACTTGATAGATCAATGCTATTTGATAACATATGTTGCACTTGGATGTTGTGCGTTTTATCTTCTCTCGGGCGAGTGAAGTATGGCGTATGGCGCGACTTTATCCCATATAGGAAAAAGGGACTTCTCTTTACTTTCTATCATTACTGTTTAGTATTTAGTGGTTTCTATTTTGTATGCGAGGAATATATTCATGATAATGGTTAGCTGTGTACTTGATGTCTTCAAAATTATTTAATGTTGGTTCTATTTGATGCTTTGAGTGATATATATCTTGAATTGCTACTTCAGATGAAGCTATTACCCGATTTGGTCAACACCTGCAAATATAGAATATGACATTGTAGCCTTAGAATATCAAACCATTCGCATTATTATTCAGTCTATTCATATCCAAAAAATATAGAAATTGATGTAGAATATAAATTATTCTACTGATAGTAGTGGTACAAAAATAAAAATAAAAAAAGAAGTGCATCATCCGTGAATCGAACACGGGCCTCGTCGATGGCAACGACGAATTCTACCACTAGACCAATGATGCTAGTTGATGTAAGACTGTGAACTATTATATATTATGAGTATTCAGGGTATAATAGGTAGGATTCCTTACCTTGACAGGGCCATAGGGCGTATTAAAGTTTCCCTCCAGTGCGTATCCACTTTATCCACCAAGAGAGCCTCTTAGCACTGCCCTGAGGAGAGTTCTCTAGGCACTGCCTCCTGGGTCTCGGGGCCGTAAGGGCCAAAAACCGTACAACGCTATTGGTTCTCTGAACTTCCAATATATTTTACGTATTCGCTCTCGTTTTCGAGAAGTTTTCAGGGTCCTGACAGTTCATGTGATGGCCAATATAGGGCCTCCATGGCATGGCCACACTCCTTTGCCCTGCGCCTTGGAACTTTTACGAGATATCTGGAAACCTGAGCTATCACGTGTGCATAATGCAAAAGTACACCTATGACGATGCCCAGACATGTCCGATCGGAATGTGTAATGTCGGTGCAAAGATACAACGCGAGATTTTGAGGAATGCAAATGGAAGATTACCTTGCATATATGTATTTCTATGTACTATAATATTTGGGTTCCACTCACTTGAAGTTCTAGCTACTACCTTGATACCCTACAGCCCCTATGTTGCATATCAACTGTTCCGGTTGAGTTCGCGCTGCAAACAGCCATGACGAGCCGAGCGGGTATTCGGCCCCTCAATCTGCATGGACCGGCGCCCGACTAAAGACTCAGCCTTGGGGGAAGACCTGTCTTGGAATTATTCGTCCAATCATATTCAATCCCGTTCGCATTAAGGAGAGGCGCCCAGGTGGTCCCACTGCGGAGAAGTGCAGGGAACCTTGGAAGCTTTGTTGTTTACCTTGGGAACATTTAAAGCCTTTTGATCTCCCCCCCTTCTTCTTCATCCCTTCTATATCAGAATCCCACCTTGTATATCCAAGTACTCAACATCCTCAAAACTACAAATAAAACCTCAACCATGTCTGAAAACGGCGCAAGTACCAGCAAGGCCCCCGTCGCCAATCGTGGAATAGACCATCCTTTGGTCGATGTCCAGCCATTTCGCATGAGCGATCTGCAGCCCAAATACGCGCACCAAATCGACCATGCTGACGATAACCCCGATGCGCATGGCTGGTACGCCGGTTTGAGTGAGTTGTGCCAATATCTACACGCCCTGCGACTCTTGTCCTAACCCTACCCCCTTCTAGTTCACAGCCTGGGTGAATGTATTGGATTTTTCGGAGCTATCCCCTGCTGCATCTGCTGCCCCAACCCCTTCAAGCCTGTCGAGCAGGGTGAAGTCGGTTTGATCTCGCGATTTGGACGGTTAGTGATTCCCCTCTCGACGATGTCCATCGAATATCAGCCACTGACAATGATTATTATAGCTTCGAGCGATCGGTCGATCCTGGTCTGGTTAAGATCAACCCGCTCAGTGAACACATCATCACGGTCGATGTCAAGATTCAAATCGTCGAGGTACCCCGTCAGGTCTGCATGACCAAGGACAACGTCACCCTCAACCTGACCTCCGTCATCTATTACCAAGTCGTCTCTCCACACAAGACCGCCTTCGGTATCTCGAACGTGCGACAAGCCTTGATCGAGCGCACCCAGACAACACTGCGCCACGTGATCGGCGCACGAGTGCTGCAAGACGTGATCGAGCGTCGCGAGGAGATCGCCCAGTCGACCTCGGAGATTATTGAGGAGGTAGCAGCCGGATGGGGAGTGAAGGTCGAGTCGATGTTGATCAAGGACATCATCTTCAGTAACGACCTGCAAGACTCTCTCTCTATGGCGGCGCAGTCGAAGCGTATCGGTGAAAGCAAGGTTATTGCCGCGCGCGCTGAAGTCGAGTCCGCCAAGTTGATGCGCCAGGCTGCCGATATCCTGTCCTCCGCTCCGGCTATGCAGATCCGCTACCTCGAAGCGATGCAGGCTATGGCCAAGACTGCCAACAGCAAGGTTATTTTCCTGCCTGGAGTGGCCCCGAATGTGTCCCAGCAACTGGAAGCCGCTACCAATGCGGGAGAGGGTCCGAGCAACTACGGTGCCCCGGCCAACAGCAATGATGGTGGGTTCCAGGGTGCGATCAACGCTCGCGTTGTCGAAGACATCTAGATGTGACCTCGACGCTTTGCCTGTGTTGTCTCCTTCCCTTATTTAATTGGTCAATTTCTTGTATGAGGATATGACTCTTCCCTCGACTTGTGATTTACTTTGCCTTTCCTGGAAAGTGGACCCCTTGAAGTTGTTCTCTAACAGCTCATTTGTCTACGTTCCGGGGATTTAATTGTTTTTTTTTTTTTTTTTTTTGTATTATGGCTGGACGTGATTGGATCCATGACGATACCCACCTTCGTTTGCTGCTGTTACCGCAGCCGTTTTAATGTCTGAATGACTGCACATGTGCTTTGCTTCTACGGAGTACTTATTTAGTGTAATGAAACCTTGCTCTGTATTTCTCTCTTTCTACTCCGTATCTGTTGCACCTAATATACCCAGGACCAATCAGCGAGATTATTGTACACCGTATAACAACGCGACTCATCATTTGACTGTTGATGCGGAGAACGTCTACCTTTTAACCACTTAGAATGACTCGTGTCGGAAGGGGCTGAAAATTCAATGTTTTTAAATTAGTGAAATCCACACATGAAAGCTAATATTCTCGTATTAAGCTTGTTATTTTTTTGTTATTTTTTATCTTTTTGAAAACATTGAGAGCTGCCATACTACATGTACATATGTACATATGTCCATACGATATACTCGTCCGTTATCTTACTATGTATCCTGTACTCTAACTCATAACCCTGATTGGTGCAGATGGTGTTTCTGGTGAGTTTCAGCTGTAGCCAAGAGATCATATCTTCCAGGGTCGCTAGCAGAAAACGTGCTGTCAAGACGCTAGCATGTTAGTGGATAATGCGATGCCGATCTTGGGTATTTTCGGTGGAGGATTTCCGTAGTTAACTTTGGTTATATTGGAAAATTATTTAGCACTCTGATCATTTTATATTTAGGCAATCCAGGCTGAGTCAATTCCCCAAAAGAATTGAGAATGAATGCAAAATTTGACCAGGTTTGGGGCAGTGCGAGGGTCCTGAGTGGGAAACTAGTAGCGCGAGGGAAATTATAGCATCAGCACTAAGACCCTGTACTGAGAGAAGCTAAGATCAATTAGGAATTGGCGCTACAGATATACATGACGGCCCAAATAAGCCCCCTTTGAATTTGGGGGCCGAGTGTTGATTTTGCTTTTCCGACCGCTGCACCTACTCTTCTGCAACAGTCTATAGAGCAACCCAGCAGATACAGCTTCAAAATGACGTCTACTGGACCAGTGGCCACAGGTGTGACAGGTGACCCGGTGGAGATAACGACAATGCCGACGACAACACTGGCCATGTCAAGTATCTTCACACCCCCCGCCTCATGCTCGAGCTCATGGACATACGAACCACAGGGGGCAAACGATGTTCCAAACGGACTCCTGATGCAAAATGTCGTCGCGAACGACAATGCCGATCCTGCATGTTTCCCTTCGGGATACAGTCAATATGGAAGAGTCCGACCAACTATCGCCTATAGCCCAGGCTATTGTCCAGGTGGATACACCTCGGCTGATTTAGTGATTCACAGCTCAGCAACTACTGCCATGTGCTGTCTCTCGTAAGTGCAATTGCCAAGCCAATTCTAGTTCCCGACTTAGATATTGACGGGATTCTAGTCACTTCTCCTACTACGAGGAAGTAAGGGACTCCTCAACGACATTCGGCGGATGCATAAGCGAGTTTCCTAGTTCATCATCTACCATTGTCACCGTCCGCCAGGTGACCCATGAGAGCACTCAGGTTAATGGCCCCGTCACGATGTGGGCGCAACCAATCCAAATCGAGCTGCAGGCTTCAGACAAAAGCCTATTTGTTTCAGCCACTACGACATCCGACACGACAACCACCGCAAGTACTTCAACACAGACCGGCCCAAAATCCCCAAACCCAGCTACGCCAACACCGGCGAACCCCGCAGCCCCAGGAACGGGGACAGAAACAAGCGGCCTGTCAACAGGAGCGAAAATTGGCGTTGGCGTTGGTGTCGCCGCAGCAGGACTCATTATAATCGCCGCGCTCGCATTTTGGCTATTCCGCCGGCGCCAGAACAAAGGACAGAAGGGTCTACTGGATACGCCCTCGTCACCTGGAGGGAGTCACCCACAAGCTAGCGAGCTTGGTGGGAGCACTCAATTCGGTGCGAACCCATCATACCAACGCCCGGGACATGGAACACCGAGTGAGCTTGGTGGCAGTTCGCAGGCGGGAACGTCTAGCGTTGCGGCGAATACGCAGACGACTGGACCTTCTGAGCTAGATGCGGCAAACCCCGGCCCGAAGTTTGTGCATGAACTTGGTGCTTAGATTGTCTTATTTTTGCTTTCTTGTGTTGCTAATCAGAACTATACCCACCTTCTTGCGCTCGGCTCTTGGTAATACTTGGCCGATATGAGCCGTGGAGTTGAGACTCGAATGCTTGTAAGTATGCTCATGCTATTTCCATTGAAGGTCTTGGATTGGAATCGATGAGCGGCGATTTGAAGTCTCGGCTTGGGCTTGTCGAGTTTTATACTCCGTACCGGTATATATGGTCTCACCTGCATGATGGAGCTTGTTTGGAGCTACACGGCTTCCATCGGATGTAAATATAGATCAGGTGCAGATATAATACATTATAATCACCCTTCTCAGTTTTACCATTGCTTATTTTCCGTAGCTTTCGGGTTTGGTTCTTTTTACCCGTAGGATTCCATTGCTTCGGGACATATGCATTAATATCTGATGAGAAGAAACCAGGTCATGCATTGTGTTATGCCTTAGACCATCGAATACAGTACAGGTAGCGTAGCAAGCTGCCCAGAATTAATTCGGGCTGCATGTTATGAACTGGCCTGGATATGGAGGCTAGAGGTAATCTGCCCAGGTGTGTCTGCTGACTCTTATGATTGGCCTTATGACTTAGAACCAATTTGGCCTACATATACAGGCCACAATAGAATACCAGGGATAACCCACACTAACTGTCATAATCTACTTAGAGCTCCCTCTCTGATTTATCTGTATTTCATATCCTACTTGTCATATATTATCAATAATCCCGCTGATTCCATTGTTTCAAAATCAGAGATCTTGCACTATCCTTTCTGGTTACCCCTTCACCATCTATCAACATCCATGATGATATTTACTATGACTAAAGAACAATGAAGTCAACCTACCAGCCAAATTTTCTCTTCCTTATCCTAAGCGTCCTCACCTCCATTCCACTAGTAACCTCGCTCTGCTACTAACACGATGGAACCGTCAGGTCAAGTCCTATATATCAACCATGCATTGTTATCAAAGACACAATAGGCATGTGCTGCGCCAGTAACCGGTCAAACCCAGCTGGCGGCAGCAGTGCGGACGGACTTACCGCGGATGAATGTCTCGCCAACGGACTGTGCATGAATGTACTGACGTACAGAAATAGTGCTGGGGAATTGGGCACAAATACCACATACTGGCGCAATCAGTGTACGATCTCCGACTGGACGAATAATGGATGTTTGAATGTGTGTACCAAGGGATCGGTATGTGCTTTCGATCTCAAGCCAGGTTTTTATTGAAGGGAATATGGAAACCTTTCATGAATCTGCGAATGGGCATTTCGGCTGTATGGTGAGCTGATAATTGGGATTTTCTAGACACTAAGTGGCGGATCAGACTTTTCTGCTAAGATGACCTCTTGCGATGGCACTGCGAACTCGACGACTTGGTGTTGTGGGGATAATGCTAGCTGCTGCAATACTTCATCTGCAATTACGATAGCTCAGAAGCTGGGTGAACATAATTCTACCTCGACATCGCTTTTGACACCAAGCTCAACGTCTACTTCAACTTCATCTTCGCCCTCATCGTCTCAACTTTCAGGCGGTGTTATCGCCGGGATCGCTGTCGGAAGCGTTGTTGGTGCTATTGCATTCCTGGCTATTATTTATTTCTCGTTCGTACGATGGAAGAAGATAAGAATTCAGAGAGAGAATGAAGTAGAGGGATTGGCGATAAATCTTCGCCCGGCTTCTCGTCCCCAAGAGCTTGAGAATCATATTCAGACTGTTGACATGAGGAGTGTTGCACATGAGAAGGCAGCTGGGCCCCAAGATATTAGGGCTGAGCTCCCAAGCGAGCCGGTGAGACGAACAGTGGATTAAAATAATGAAACAATGAAGTAAGATATGTAGGAAAACATGTAATTATTGGTTGATCACTTTTGTTTACGCTGTATAGATCCCAGACCAAAAGCGGCCAGGAACTATACCTAAAATAGCACCACACCATACCTAATAGGGAAATAGAAGGCGGTGGGGCGTGGAGATATCGATCCTCCCCGCGGAGGCCAGCTCTCTCTTCAAGCGTGAATTGACATCGAGACAGGTTGCCAAAGCTCCTAAACCAGAGCTTCGCAGAAATGTCACCACAAACGTACAACTCGTCAACCCGAGCTGGCGTCAAACCGTCAAACCAACCCACTCCATCCCCTAACTTCGCCGACCCAAACTTCGACCCAGCCGACTTCCTCAATGATTCTCTATCACCGCTTACTGTGGCATCATCACAACCGAATGCCTCTCGGGCACCCGGATCTGTGCCCCTGACAGAGCTGTCCGCGCAGGTTCAGTCCCTCCTCTCCCAGATTAGCGCCCAAAACATCCGTCTCTCGAGCACATTATCCCAACTCACCGACGAAATCCTCCGAAGCGGTGGACGACTAGCCTACGAAGTCGAAGTCCTACGAGGCGAGACAATCGGGCTATCCGAAACCCTAACCGAAGTCCTACGCGACGACATAACAAAATTCGTCCCGGAGCCTTCACCAGAAGACGTGCGCAAGACCGAACAAGCAGAAGAGGATACGCCAACAAACGAAGACGAGTCAGCAAGCCCAGAGGACAAGAAAAAGCCCATCATCCCCACAGACCCAGAATACATAACAAACCTCCGCACACTGAACCAAGTGCGATCGCGTCTAGAAGACGTTGTCCAAACATTTGGCGACGCAATGAGCTGGCCACTACCCCCATCCGAGATCTCATTCTCATCATCCTTCATATCCGTCTCAGGACCAGACCTCGGGCCCGAAGGGCAAGATCGCGAAGAAAAAGGCCAAGAAATGATGAAGAAGCTACGCAAAGAAGTGACCGAGCTACTCGATAGCGAGGGCGGAGGATATGCCGGACTAGACGCTGCCAATCGCCGTGTTGAAGCTCTTCGGACGCTGGCGACTGTGTGGAATACATCTGCTGAGGAAAAAGCCCGGAATCGGTTCGTGGATAGCCTAGCGAATATCGTCGAGGACCGACGGCGCACCTTGGACCAGGGAGATCAGAATCAGCGAGGACAGTCTAAGTCTAGGTCTGAGGCTCGGCGGGATAGTGACAGTGGGGCACCTGCAGGTGGACTGTTCCGGAACTTGCAGCGTTTGAGAGAGGAGATTTACTTGGAGTGAGATGATGGGATGTACATAGTACATATTGGTTCTAGGATGTATGTTGAGCTGGTTCTCTACATGGAGACTTGGACCTGGCTGTATAGTATCTTGCATCTTTTACAACCTTATATTGTCCGCAAATTAATAGAAACCTGAAGGTATACTGCCTTTCCAAGGTTGACTTTGGAAGGTGTTTTACGTAGTGATTAAGATCTAAGAGACATCCATGGATATTTTGATACAAAATCGCATATTCTCATAGACCCTAAATGTTTATAGTTATGATCTAGATGCCAGGGTGTTGAATAAACTGAAGTATAAAGCAGATTTGAGAGATACCTGGACCCTATAGATGAAGCTTAGGCGCATAAGGGGCCCACGAGGTGACGAGGCGTGGCACCGGAAACGTTACGCCGATCGCAGCCTCTCTCTCTCTCCACCTCCGGGGGGTGATTGCGTATTTCCCGTTTCCCTTTTGGTTCCTTTTGGTTCCTAACATCTTACAATGTTCCATATTGCTTTAATCAGTATCTGATTCGACTTTATTTTTGCATGATGGCGTCGGAGGACGTGCCGCTACACTTTCAAGATGCCAAGTCGACTCCGGTGCTGTGGCGCGCCTTCAATCGTCGGTCACGAACAAACCGGGTTAAGACAATTGGCTTGTCAGTGATTGGATTGTTCTTCTTCTTTCTTATGCTACAGACTTCTTCAACGGTAATGATCGCTTCCTGCGTCACAGGCATGCTGTGACTGCCAGGCCTAAGATAAAGAAGCTGATAACCTGCCTAGCGACTCGAACCGGACTTTTGGACCAAGTTTCCCTCTCGCCATCCTTTCCCTCAGCGCCCGGAAGATGCCCAGGTCCTCCTTCCTCCCCGCACCGATATCAATGTCAACGATACTCTTCCTCACGATCTGGACAAGCCCAACCCTCGCCTGCATGTCCTAATCCCAGCCTCACAGGGCTCGCGCGGAGTCTGCCGAACGCTTACGTCGGCTATGATCCTTGGATACCCACCGCCAACATTAATTGGTTATGGCCATGACTCTCCCGGAGCGACCGAGGCCGAGCGCATGGTGGACCGAATCACGCGGGCGCGCAACTACCTCCGAGATAGCAAGACCGTACATGACCGCGACTTCGTGCTGATGGTGGATGGCGCAGACAGTTTCTTCCAATTGCCACCGAAGGTTCTAGTGGAGCGGTTCCAAGCTATCATAAGGGCGAACAACCGAAAACTGCGGGACAAGTTTGGGTTCGTAGAAGTGGCGGGCGAAAAGGCCGGGGCTGCACCTGAGATGGTACAGAAATACACCCAGCGCGTTCTTTTTGGCGCAAGCAAGATGTGCTCCCCCGGGTTGCTGGACGACCCCGGTTGTGTATCTGTTCCCGAATCAACTTTACCTCCGGATGTATATGGCTGGAAGACTGATGCCTACCCGGATGGATCTCTGAACCGACCCCGGTGGTTGAACCCGGGAGCGGTCATTGGCCAGGCTGCGGATCTGCGTCTGATCTATGACGAGGTCCTGCGGCTAGTTGAGTTCCGCTCGAACAAGTCTGGAGATTACCAGGCCCTGACACAGATGTACGGACGGCAAGAGGTGATCAGAGAACTGGAGCGGCGGCGAACAGCCAACGACTTCAAAGAGTTGCTTTACCGGATGGTGGGAATCTCAGATGCAGCAAACATCACCGGAATCACCCTCCGGCTGGAGACAGGTCACCGTTACGAGTATGGCATTGGTGTTGACTTCGAGTCTCAACTCTTCTTCAACCAGGTCATGTCCCGCAAGGATGTTGAGTGGGTCAAATTCGGCAACATCACGAAGATGTCTGCGTTGCAGATGCAACACGGCGTACCTCGCGAACACCGTCTCCTCTTACCACCTGATATCGCAGCACTCCCCAACCCGTTTATCCAGTCCCGTTTCGCAAAAGAATCAACCCAGCGACCAGTGTGGAATGCCACACTGGACAAACTCCCGAACCCGCGCGAGCGTACCTGGCACAACATTTCGCTCATGACGAATGCCCACTCCGCCTCGGTGCCGGTAGTCGCCCATCTCAACGGCGACCCCAAGCTCCGCAACACCTGGTGGGAAAATATGTGGTTTTTCCCATGGGGCCGCGCCCTACTGCGGAAATATGTCCGCGACTCACACGGGTTCGACGCGGCACAGTCGTCGCTACTGGGTGGACAGGACTGGTTGGAGGTTCGTGGAGGTCGGGGTGGGATCTGGACCGATGACCATAACTGGATCACTTTTGCTGAGGTCTGCAATAGCCAAGAAAGAGATCTCTTTGACGATGACCTTGGACCTTGGGCTAAGGAAATTGATGACCCCGATGATCCGGTTTATAACCAGTATGGAAGCCTCATTGCTGGGAAGGAAGAGAAAACTGAGAAATTCGACAATTTCGGCAATTTCTACTAAAGCTGGACTTTGAGTTGTTATTCCCCCTATTACTCACTTATATCATTCTCGATGGGTGGACCGCTGCCGGGTCGTTGAGAGCACCTGTCCAGCTCACCGTCCCATCAAACCACCTGCTCTGCGCTATATCCCCACGTGGAGTTCCATCCATGTTTACCAAGTTCTGGACGCCATGTGATGTTTGGAGCTTGGATGGGTTTTGTCTTTTTGCATGACAGGCCTGATTGGATAAACCACTATGATGGCGTGACCGGATTCACAAAGGAATGCAGATTTATTCTTATGCCCAAGCTTGGGATTCTTTCGACTTTTATCGGGAATAGCTGTACATTATTGGGACTGGCTTTGTATGATACCATCATAGATGGAACCTTGGAAGAAGCTGGCTTACTGGTGAAGTTGGCGTATATAGAAAGCAACGGAATGAACAAGTTGTCTCTCTTCTAGCAGATCATTCATTGTGTAGTACCACTCATGTCTCATCTGAACCGATAGTATCTTGTAGACGCAAACTATAAAGTGGCCACGGTCTGGTGGTCGGAGGCTGCTCCCTTCGGAGATCGGATCGACTGCCACGAGGAGTAGCAATTCCTAACCCAGATCTTATTGGAAATAGTACCGATATTCTGTCCGTTTGTGGACAGGGTCCCCTTAGATCTACAATGCACTGCCATCGGGTAAACTTCGGGTTCCAGGTAGAAGGGTCCCGCTTAGTCATCATATGCATGCCCAGGTGAGGGACCACCTCCGGGCCGGGCAAGTAGGTATATAGTTAACAGAATTATTTTATTGGTTATGTTTGTGACCAGGTTGAAGATTGAATGGCATGACCAATAGGCAATCTTGGCATTAACAAATACACTAAACACAGTAATTAGTTCAAAGTTGCTTGGTGGTTAACAAAGGTTAGTATACCCGTGGACTGGGTTAGTTCTGGCTAGAAATGGATAATAGTCTAATACTAAGTCAATGGACAATTCTGATCGATAGTCTCAATATAGTGGAATACATGGAAGATAGGAAGAGGCCTGTTTTGTTCATCTATGTTGCCTAACTTGTTGACGATCTCTGTGGGACTATGAATTGCAATCTACTCTACGGACTCCGACTTTTGTTCTTCACACACGGATTCTGATTAAAACGAACAATATATATATGCATTTGAGTGGGTCTGAAAATTTGCCATCCATCCTGACAATCAATACTGGAAGGAGTGGGATGACCGACAGGAAGTGAGAGAATGTACGAAGGATAACGTATAAGAACAGTCAACCCCTTATGCACTTCTGATATCGATATCTTCCCAGTCTATAAGCAATCATGGGAATCAAAATCCTCTCTAAACTTATTGCACTTGCATCCCTATCCGGCCTCACATCCGCCTGGTTGCCCGAGACCGACAAACAAATCTCCTCAATCAATGGCAAAAACCTATTCTCCACCTCCAACGGCAAGGTTCGTGGAGCAAATCTTGGAAATCTCTTTGTGTTTGAACCTTGGATTGCGGAAGATATCTGGTCCGATATGGGTTGCAAAGGCCAAGAGTCCGAGTTCGACTGCGTCTCAAGTATCGGCCAGGAGGCGGCCAACAACGCCTTTGAGAAGCACTGGGGATCGTGGATTACCCAGGAAGACATCCATGAGATACAGAGCTATGGTCTCAACACTATACGGGTGCCTGTTGGGTACTGGATGAAGGAAGACCTTGTCTCCGCCACCGAGCATTTCCCGCAGGGTGGGTTTGATTATCTTGAAAAGCTTTGTGGATGGGCTAGTGATGCAGGTCTGTACATTATTATTGATCTGCATGGCCTTCCTGGAGCGCAGACACCCAATAATTCTTTTACTGGCCAATATATTGCAAACGCCAGCTTTTACCAGGACTACCAATACGATCGAGCAGTGGACTTCCTTGGATGGATGACTACGAAGATACACCAGAGCGACAAGTTCCGCAACGTGGGAATGCTTGAAATTGTCAATGAGCCAGTCCAGGAAGCGGATAAAGCCAATTCAATGCGCTCAATTTACTACCCGGAAGCATTTAAGGTGAGTTCCTGTTGCTATAAACCTACTTCGAGGAAGTTGTGCTAAAACATCCCTGTATAGATGATCCGCACTACTGAAAAGAATCTCAACATCGAGAAAAGCGACTACCTCCATATACAAGTGATGGACAAAGCATGGGGATCCGGTGACCCCACTGAATTTATCGACGACCTCTACTATACAGCCTACGATGGCCACATCTATCTCAAATGGGCCGGCATCAAGACCAAGGACGCTTACATCAACACATCCTGCAGCGATTTACTGGACAACCTATCACCCACCATTGTTGGTGAATGGAGTCTGAGTGTCGCCGACGAAACTGGGTGGGATTCGGACTGGAATCCTGCATCGAACACCGACTTTTACAAGCGGTGGTTTGCAGCCCAGGCTACAACATACGAGAAACGTTTAGGGTGGATATTTTGGACCTGGAAGGCTGAGCTAGGGGATTATCGGTGGTCATATAAAGGTTTATCTTCACTTCTATCCAAATTTAGGTCTTGTAAGTGTGTGGCTGACATTTCTGTCTAGATGCGGTTACCGCTGGTGTGATTCCAACCAACTTGAACTCGGTGTTTGACCTGAAAGTTTGTGCATAGATGTTCTTCGTATTCTCTACGAGAATTCAATACTCGCCTCATATAGGCCACAGACGATAAAGCTATGGAACTTACAGAACGACATGGTTTATGGGGTCCTAATAGTTTTTAAGATGGAGTGAAATTCAGTTTCATCACTTTTGTGCAATTACTAGTTACTGTCTTTCACTATATTTTTCTTGTAGTCATTTCACAGAATCTTGAAACGGCCAGGCCTTTTCCCGCATCTCCCTCTTTTCTTCGTTTACTGACTCCCGATCTAGGAAATTTTGCTTTGCCACAGCAAGTCTCCTCACTACTTTGTCGTAATCATGAGGGGACACTGCACCATTCCAGCCTGTATAGACACCTACCTCAATTACTCGCATCTTCCTTTCAACGTCCTTTTCCCACTTGGAATACTCTGTCTTCAACTTTGCCACGTCTTGTTCTGAGTACTTTAGAGGGCACAGCACGCTGGGATTGTCATTTTCAGCCACCCCGACCCGACCAGCTACTTCCAGATATATTTTTCGGTGATCATATATTAGGTATTTGTCTAGTTATCAATAAACATTAGTCAATAGAGCACATATCCCAGGAGTCCTGGAGCTCCGCGATCTCAGATCCCTCTTGAATATGAACCTGTCCGGACTCTTTCGAGTGTAGAGACATGGCCGCAGCTTTTTCGAAGAAATGGACTAGCATGCCCAGGACCTTTTCATAGTCCTTCATAGTCCTGATGACGAGCGACCACAACACGCTCGCTCCACTAGTAACTTACCAATGAGGCAGTTCGATACAATCATAATATACACATACTCACCTTGGAGTCGTTGAAAATTTTCAAGAACCAGAAAAGTTGATCATCGGCTACTAACCCGTAGATCGTGCAATCCTTTCTTTTCAATTTCTGTCAACTCTTATGCACGCAGCCTTTCAACGGGTTAGACCCCTGGTTTTCAATGAGAGAAATATCAAAAGAGACTCACCCATATAGGCCAGGGTTTCGGCTAAGCTCAGTTGCACTTCCCCATGTTTAGCTTCAACCACAACAGTATTCAACGCCAAATTCTTCCTATCGCCGTACCAGATCCCATAGTCTGGTCTTCCGGTCAATGTATATTTTTTTCCATCCCAACTCACAGGGCCGTATCCCCACATTGTCTCAGTCTTGATGCTGAATAACCGGACAGCATCATGGAGACGAGATAGAACGACATCGTGAGCAAGGAGAAGGAGAGGAGAGTGAGGGCAAGAGTACGGCGTGTTTCGGTTTTACATGAAGAAATTTCACAGTCAACTTTGGACAATGCTACTGCTGAGTAGAGTTAGCCAAATGTGATCTGATATGATTTGTTTCTGATTTACAAGACTGTGGCGGCATAGGAACTGGAGGTACAGTCTCAAGTTCATTGTCATTGACGACATGCTCTAGATTAAGGATGAGGTGGACCTTTTTGAGGTCCAAAGAGGAGGCCGTGAGGATGTTTTTGGACCGGATTCTCTGGTTAAATGAGGAGGATAGGCATATTAGCCGGGCCATACTAGATAGCGAGCGACAGATATTGGTGGTAGTTATTCCGACAGATGAACAGGTTGATGAAAATAATTATCAAATGTTGTGATATACTCTAAATGATGATCATATAATGACTACTTGACCCCTTCAGATATCCTTAAGTTGAACTTGAAAGCTAGTTTCTCATCCATACCCTAAAAGGGTCTTCGAGATTACATTGCAAGTTATGCAAGTTGTAAGTATTTCTCCAATTGCTTTTTGTACCACCCACGGGCCCTTGCAGGGTCTAGTGAGGAGCATCAAGAGTTCTATCATGATCTTCGACTCTTTCTAGTCTGATTCGCTACTCTCCCCTCGCTTACAGTGACTGGGATCGGCCCCAAAGCACTATAGCCACCATTTTTTGGCCCCCTGTGACGAAGCCAAGACTCGGGCAACAACAGGTTGTGTTGGTCAATGTTGATCAAGTTCATATTCATATGATATAAATCACTCAATCACCCCCAGTAAAACTAAACAAATACAAATATCATTTTCCTTCATCTACTCCAGTATCTACCCCAGTGACTATTCCGTACCAAAGATTAAAACCACCAACACCAACACCAACCCTCCTTACAAACCAACTCCAATCAAAATGTGTTTCGGTTCCGGCTTCTGGGATGGTATAATGCCGCATCCACCTCGTCGAGAAAAATACAAAAACCAGGAGAAGTACCAGCGAGACTATGCCCGGTACGAACAGAAGTTAGAGGACTGGAAGAGCCATGATAACAGAAGGAGAAGAATGGCAAATTCCAAAGCTGGGGCTACTGGAGGAGTCACCTGCGCTTTGGGAGGCTGAACAGAGGCCGTGTCACGATCTGTTGAAGGGTCCTGTATTCTGATTTTGATACTCCTGTTTTATGGTTTTTGTACTACACTATGAATGGTCTCAACACCATAGAATGACGATTGTCCATCCACGTAAATGATCAATTAAATGCACTCAGAGAAAGACTGTATACTATCCTTTCAGTATAGTACAACATACTTGTAAAGTGAGAATATCTCTGAATTACTGCCGATATTGCATGTATGTATGTACCACGGTGTCTATTTAGTTACCCGTACTAGGATGGGTAATTTTAGGCTTCATGATAAATACTGAGATGAAATATAAAGCGAATATTAAGATTGATTGTACTTTGTATATGTAAAATAAACCACAGTGTTCTGAGGTTGGCATATTAAGTCCACGGAGCACTCTGATTGGTCTGAGACTGATACAGGGATGTAGGTAACGTGCTCAAAATCACCTTGACTCTTCAAGTTACAAAGTGTAGACCCGAAAAAGAATCTTGTTAATTTCGCCGCTTGTTTTGGAAGAACTGGAGCAATATTATTCCATTACATCCATTGGCATCCAGCGTAATATCGACCCGTGGAGACCCTGCCATGCTCTCCTTTCTTCGGTCTCCCAAGTGCATACAGAGACCACAAAGAGCCTATATTTCCATAACCTGTCGAGGTAAGGCGATCAAATCTGGGATTGGTCCCTTTAATTAAATCTCAAAAGGAAGATCAATCAGTCGCGAAGAGCTCTTCGCCCATACCAATGGCCGTTTCCTTGTTGACGAAAAGAACCAACTTGATCGACGATATGTAGAATTTGACCTGGACGCACTTTGCAGTACTGCTGCCACTGCTGGCAGCAAGTCATCTCCAATCACAGCCATTGAAAAAATGGAAGGCGGCTTCAGCAAAGTGCTTCTGATGCAAAAGGAGAATGGGATGGAAGTCATCGCCAAAATCCCGTGTCGCATTGCTGGGCCTGCAGTCTTGACCACAGAATGCGAAGTTGGTGTCTTAGAATTCTGTACGTGACTCCTAGGTTATCATATTGCAATACTTCACTAATAATCAACAGTAAGGAAACACACAAGTATCCCCGTTCCCCGGGTACTGTCCTGGTCTTCGGACAGTTCCAACATCGTGGGAGTTGAATATATCATCATGGAGAAAGCTTCAGGGGTCCAGCTTTTTCGGGTTTGGGAAAAGATGCCAAAGACAGAAAAGCCAATACTCATTAGAAGCCTAGCGAAGCTGGAGGCCCAGCTGTCGGCTATTCGATTTCCTGCATCCGGGGGACTTTATCTTCAGAAAAAGACGAACATTTTGAATTGCACACCTCTTGACAAGGATATCGATCCAACAGGTTCTTTCTGCATCGGTCCCTCTTGCGACCGCGCATACCAAACAAAGGGAATTGAAACTCCTGATGTCCCAGGTGTGCATGATACCGGGCCATGTGAGTATAGTATTCTGTGATTTGACAATAGCACCAACTAAAGCATACTCCCAGGGGATACAATCTCAGCCCTGGGGATATCTATCATAAGAAGAGAGTTGTCTCGAATCTCCAACGGACATCTTATGAACCACGCACATTTCTACCGCGAAGGTGTTGAAGAATGTACCAAGCTTCTAGAAACCACGATACGTCTCATGACATGTTTAGATGGCAACAGCATCCTTTCGGGGTCTTCTCAACCAACACTCTGGCACACAGATTTACATATGGGAAACATATACGTCTCACCCGGTGAACCTTCACGGATAGTATCTTTCATTGATTTGCAGGGGGTGCTAGTCTTACCAGCCTTCCTCCAAGCTCGGTGGCCAATATTCATGAAGCCTTGGCAGGAGAGTGAATACGTGAGAGGACCTGTACAAGTGAAGCTGCCAGACGACTTCGATCAATTAGACGAGGAAGAAAAAAGGGCTGCTTTGAACGAGTGGGAGCAAGATATGCTAGCCAAGACTTACGAGATCGCCACGTATCTTGAGAACAGACCGGCGTATAACGCCATGAATGTGCCGCGAGTTTTTCGTGAGCTATTCGTTCGTTGTGGTGAGATTTCAGAGATGGGAGTTCTCCCACTTCGTGAATGCCTCATAGAGATATTCCAGAGCTGGTCGAACTTGGGATTCTCTGGAGAGTGCCCGTTCTCCTTCACAGAAGAAGAGATCGAGATTCATGAGCGCCAATTCGCTGGTTATGAAGATTGGCACCAAGTCCAGGCCCTTGCTCGGGAATGTCTAGATACCGATGCAGACGGCTGGATATCACCACAGTTGGATTTCGAGAATAAACGAAACCTGAACAAGCAATTACAGTGCATGTACATCCAACAAATGGCCGGCGAGAAAACCCCCGAGGAAGTGAAAGCAATTTGGCCTTTCCCATTGTGAACCTGACGTGGAGGTTTGAAGAAGTAGACTGGTTTCTTAATTCTTGATATCAAACATCTATGATAGAACAACTTCCAACTTCTCACCCCTTGACGTTCTCATAATCCGCCGTAAGGGTTTCCTTAATGATAGCCAAAATAGCCTTAACATCTTCATCAGAAAGTCGGAGCTCTCGCTCTTCAATAACACTGTCCATCAACACCACCGAAGTGTAATCCTCCTCCTCGCCCTCTTCACCTCCCGCTTCCCCATCCACTTCCATCGCATCCTCTCCATTAGCACCTTCCTCCGCAGCTTCCTCGGTCGGATTACCACTCACTCCCACCCCAAGATTCAAGATCATAACGACCTCGGCTTTGGTCAGTCCGTACGGCTGTAGACGGACCACCAAGTCCCGGAGGGCGGTGTCCATTGGTGTTGTTTCTGTGGAGGGAATTGGTGGCGGCAGAGAACTAGCATCTGTGTCTGTACTTGCTGAATTCGATGTTCGCAGTGTGCCGGTCATTGCGGCTTGCGATTGTGATTTCGACTGGGAGGACGAAGGGCGGGGTGTGTAGCGGGGGTATCGAAGGAGGTGGGGAGAGAGACGGCTTGCATAGTTGTGAATCTGGGGGAGTTAGTCGGTTGTTTCTTTTCCTTCTATTGTTGGTGTCTTTTGGTGTCTGGTTTGAGAGCTTGGGGCCTGGTCGACTCCGCTTTATGCTGGGGTCTGCGGTGTAGTTTCAAAGCCACAATAACCCGTGGATAAATGAAAAGGACCGCATAGGGATTCTCACCTCTTTTACCACCGTATTATGGTCTCTGAGATCTGGGCTTGGTGCCCAGTTCCCCGAACTTGGCGGTGGTCGGCGGGGTGGATTAGAGGTCAGATAGGCCAAGACCTCGACGTTGGTCAGGACAGCGGTTTGAGGGTCAATGATCTAGATTATTTCATTAGCAGCAATTCTGCGCTTCAAATAGGATATATCTTACCCTCATTTTGTCTGTTGAATGTGGCAAGATAGACTGGAGCAAATGGGCGTCTGGATTGAAGAAAGGAAAATTGTTTGAACTGCCGGCAGAATTTGGGCGGTGTCTTTATCTACCTGCATATCTAGGCTAAATCGAGTATAGAGGCGAAACATCAAGAGATGAGACTGGAACAGAATTGACTGACTATAATTTGCAATGCGTCTACAACTTTACAATCAAGTACTGAAGTATGAACAGATTATTCCAGCTAAAACTGTACTGCCTTGTTCCTAACGAGCACCCTCTGCGCCAGTGAAAGACCGGTAGATCAACCTCAAAATGCCCCAAAACATGCGGGCAACAGGAAGATTGCAACAAAAAAAAAGAACAGAAATAAAAAAGTGTGATATCATACAGATCCCAGGAAAGCCATCCGGTCACATTGCACAAACTTTTGAAAACATACGCTTACTCTCCCTTGGACTTCTTCTTCTTCTTCTTCTCATCGTCGTCTTCGGAACGCTTGCGCTTCTTGCCATCATCCTTGTCGGCCTTCTTGGCATCCTTCTTGGACTTCTTCAAGTCCTTCTTGCTAATTGCAGTGGGGTTGCCTTCTTTATCGAAGGTGATCTCGCCACGCTCGAGCTTCCGCTCGTATCGCTTAACGCTAAGACCAGCCTTAGCAGCCAATTCCTCGATGTCGCTCTTCTTGGACTTCTTCTTGGGGGCCTCAGCCTCGGAGTCATCAGAATCCTCAGCCTCATCAGAGTCGGCATCAGCCATCTCCTCATCCTCAACCTCCTCGACAAGCTTCTTCTTCTCCTTCTTGGACTTCTGGACGGTGGCAGGCTCCTCGGAGGCCAGGGCATCGGCATCAGGGTTGTACTTGCGGGCTTCCTTCAGGTCGAACTTCTCGGCCTGAACACCGTTGGGGGCAATGGCCACACCACGGGGCTTAATGGGCTTGCCCTCCATACCAGCAAGCTTGCGCTCGAGGTTGAAGCGGGCCTCGGTACCGAGAGCAGCCTTGTCCTCCTCGGTGGCATCGTCACCCCACTCAGCGAGGGAGTCGACACGGATACCCAGAGAGGCCTTGGCGGCGAGGATACGGGCCATCTTACCCTTGTTGCGACCGGTGGCCTGGCCGATCAAAGAAGCGTGGTAGATCAGACCGTACTTGGGAGTATCGTGCTTAGTCTTGAGGGCACGGAAAAGGGCCTTCTCGGCACCCAGAATCTGGATGGTACTGGCGGGGCTCTTGGACAAGCTGGTGAGGGAGCCAGCGTGGGCAATAAGACGGGCACCAACGAGGTCACCGACAAGGGCAGTCAGGTTGGGTGCGATAGCGTTCATGCGGGAAGTGAGGTAGCTGGCAAGCTGGGAGCGGTAGTCGTAGAAGCCAACAACCTGCTCAGCGAGAGCCTGGATGTTCTCCAGATCCTCGGGGCTGATCTCGGTACCCATGGAGCGATCAGCAGCAGCCTTGACGGCACCCTCGATCTCCTCGGGGAGGATCTCAGCAAGATCAGCGGACTCCCAGTTGGAGCGCATACCCATCTTCAGAACGAGCTTGGCGTAGGCAATGTTGTCGTTGAGGATCTTAGCCAGCTCGGGGAAGTGCCATCCGTACCATTCCTTGACACGCATAGCATAGGTGTTCAGCTCCTTGTCAAGATCATCAAGAAGACCAATGGCCTGGACGATCATAGTGTCGATCTTGTCGGGGGAGAACTTGAGCTTGTGACGGGCGAGAGAGTGGGACAGACCAAGGGACATGGTGGACATATCACTGGGGGCAAGGCCGGGAATGAGGGTGGTGAGGTGCTCACGGATGGCACGGAAGATGTCGTTGGTGCTGGAGTCAGCAATCAATTGGATGTCAAGACCGGGAAGCTTGCTGATGGAGTTTCCTATTCACAACCACAGTCAGCATACATACTCTGGGAAGATATTTTAAAAGATCGACCTACCGAGCTTGGAATCGGCAACGGCGAGAGACACCTTCTTCTCATCCTTGATTCCGTCAAGAAGCGAGGCCAGGGCGGGGGTGACCTTGCCCTCCATGATGGAGGCAGCCTCCTCCAGAGCTGAGGCAGCGCTGTCGAACTTCTGGAAGCTCTTCAACTTGAGACTAGAGGTTCTGTTAGTGACATTGTCCCCGATAACAATTTTTTTTGCGCCCGTTCAGCGAATCGTTCAATTCCCACTCGAATTTTTTTTTCTGGCAGGATTGGAAGACACAATTGACGTACAGGTTGGAGACACCCTCCGCAGTGGAGGCCTCCTCGGCGATATCATCACGCTTGAGGAGCTTCTTGTCCTTGGCCTTCAGCAGGGCATAGCCCGCGCTGGTCTCAGTAAGGATGAAAAGCGTCATGGTGCGCGGCCACGGCGTTTAGAATCGAAAAATAACAGGAAAGAAGAAACTAGTCAAAGCGAACGATAAACCGAACTGAAGAAATGGTGGAAAAAATAATTAGCGTAGGGCGTGTCGGCCACCGGTGTCGTTGGAGAAATTGAATCTAAATTTGCACGGAAGAAAAAAAGTTGAAAAGCGGGTGCCACGAGTGGCTTGGGCGTGTGGCTAGGTGCATGACTAAGCCCGATGCGTGTTCAAGACGGATGGAGCTACAGCTGTGTCTCTCCAATCATCTTCTCCACATTCACCATGGAGGGCCTATTCTTTAATGTTAACGGCGGGTATGTGGTCTATGTTCTTGCCTGGTCTGAATAGCTTGTTGTTGACTCTCTTAGATACGTCGAGGGCATTGTTCGTGGCTATCGGAACAGCCTGTTGAGCGGCCAGAACTATTCCAACCTCACTCAATGCGAGACAATTGATGGTACGTTTTATTGATTTCACTGACTCTACTGTAGATTCTACTACTGCGTATTGATTCTGACAATCCCATCCAATAGATGTCAAGCTCCAGCTTGCCCCCTCATATGGCGATTTCCTTGCCTCTCTTTCCCCCAACCCCTCCACCTCCGATCTGGCGAGCCGGATGACCGATAAACTGGTGGCTGAGTTCAAGTACCTGATCGCACAAGCGACAGGCTCCTCTGCCAAGTTCCTCGAATACATGACATATGGATATATGATCGACAACATCGCCCTGTTGATCACAGGCACTCTGCATGAACGAGACACTCGGGAACTTTTGGAGCGATGCCACCCACTAGGATGGTTCGAGACACTTCCTGTACTGTGTGTCGCGACAAACATCGAGGAACTGTATAACTCGGTACTGATCGAGACCCCGCTGGCCGCCTACTTCAAGGGTAGTTTGAGCCACCAGGATCTGGACGAGCTGAACATCGAGATCGTTCGCAATACCCTTTACAAGAACTACCTGGAGGACTTCTACAATTTCATCAACACCCACCCAGACTTCAGTGGGACACCAACACAGGATGTCATGGCGGAGATTCTGCAGTTCGAGGCGGACCGCCGCTCTATCAATATTACTCTCAACTCCTTTGGCACCGAGCTGTCCAAGCTCGAGCGGAGGAAATTGTACCCTGAGTTCGGCAAGCTCTACCCGGAGGGCAGTCTCATGCTTTCCCGTGCAGAGGATGTCGAGGGTGTGGCCTTGGCTGTAAGTGCTGTGGCTGATTACAAGGCCTTCTTCGATGCCGTGGGTCTGAGCCAAGGAGGCGGTGGTCTCGGTGGTATGGGCGGAGGTCCGGCAGATGGCAAGAGCTTAGAGGATCTTTTCTACCAAAAGGAGATGGATCTGTCAAAGCTGGTTTTCACCCGTCAATTCACCCCGGCTGTGGTGTACGCCTGGATGAAGCTGAAGGAGCAGGTAAGCCTCTCAGAACCAACCCCTCTCATCTTTGAGCATGAACCTAATATCATATAGGAAATCCGGAATGTTACCTGGATCTCGGAATGCATTGCTCAGAACCAGAAGGAGAGAATCGGAAACTTCATCTCAGTTTTCTAAGCTCAATTCGGGCCCTCTATGACTTTCTGTTTTTCCCGCCTCTTTGTACTTACCTATCTTCCTGGCTGGTATTTTGCTTTGGTTGCCAGCCGCTTTTCGTTGTATCGAGTACCCAGTTTGTTCTTTAACGTGAGCGCATCGACCTCTTTTTCCTTGATCGGATAATCTGGTCATCTTTGATTTCGGCTGTGTTGCTTTTTTTTTTTTCGTATGAGGCGTTTGGCATGTGCTTGACCTTATCCTTATGACATAGAAGGACAAAATACACCGGAGATTTACATACTTTGTCGACACGGGGCTTTCCTATTTGGGCTGCTTTTATGGGCTCCCGATGGCTCAGTAGATCTCAGCACGGGTGCTTGGGTCACGTGCAGGCTCATTCATGTGGATGCTCAGTCATTGGTGCAGGAGGGAGTATGTCCATTGCACCAACCCACTATATGTTGTACTCCGTATATCGATGTTCAATAAGACTGTGGAGATCAAGCTAAGACTCACTAATTCTATACGTATATAATTATACACCAGTCACGGGCCTTAAGCCTTCACAATCCCCACTACATCCCCCAAAGAATCAACCACAAAATCCGGCTTCAATTCCTGACAAGCCTCCTGATCTCCGTACCCATACCGACACCAGCAGACCTTGCTCTTAATATTCGTAGCGAATTGAATATCCGCCACTGTATCACCCACCACAAGCACTTTCCCTGAATCAATCTCCGCCACCCCATATTTCTCCTTCAAAACAGGAACGAGAACATCCACAAAGCTCGCAGGATCGGGCTTGCGCTTGGCGCCGGGTGTCTTATCGCCGATTATTAGATCCTCAGGAACATAGCCATCCAGACCATTTCGCTCCAGTGCCGTTTTCACCGCGGCTACACCCTTGTTACTAACGATAGCGATAGGAACCTTGTGGGTATTGAGTTCGGCCAAGAGATCCATGGCGCCGGGGAAGGCTTTGATGAGTAGTTGACCGTGGGTGGCATAGAGGGCACGGTATTTTTCAATCCATTCGTTCTCGACGGTCGGGGTGAATTCGGCCAGGGAGGGGTGTAGGGCTTTGAAGGTGTCTGCTAGGCCGGCACCGCTGGCGATCAGGCGGTGGATTTCGGGTTGGGGAGGGGTGCGGGTGGGGAGGAGAGCATCGAAGGTGAGTTTTATGGTTTGGGAGATGGATTCATGAGTATCGAAGAGGGTGCCGTCGAAGTCGAAGATTGCGAGGGCTATCATTTTGATGAGGGGGTGTATTTATTTTAATGCTGAGGTAGTTGTAGTATGAAGTTGGGCATATATGGGTGTAGAGGGGCTCGAGCAGAAGTAGATAAAGAGGACGAGACACTTACACAATTAACCCTAGTGAATCCTTAGAAAAAAAATATCCCCGGGGAAATGAATTAGGATCCTCTAGTCAGGGATCTTGCAGTAGCGTACATAGTTACGTGGCTCATGCCGCTAATGTGATGTTACATTGAGATAGTGTAGATACGAGAAAACTATTTGCATATACAGCGTCGAAGCTTCGTCGCCATCACGGGTGTATAAATGTATGTCGTTTGGGGTGTTCCTTTTAGGTTCGAATTGCGTTGCTGATGAGATGCTGAAGGTTTACAACAAAGTCTCCATCCGTTGGATGACTGACCATCCTAAAGGTATGACCAACTTGGGTGTTGTCATGGCCCAGCTCTGTGGTAGCCATGTATAAAGGCTCTATATTATATTTCGGTCTGTATTTAAACTTTTTTGCGATAGACAGTCCTGCAAGTACCGCTCTCGCCGCAATGAAGAAGAATACACTTGCTACCATCATTGCCCCCGAAAAGACCTGCAATCCCCAGTAGGTCCCATTTTGTCGGCTCAAGATTGCCCCAGCAATAGGACTTCCCGTGAGCGATGCAATACTGATGCAACTAAATAAAACGCCCTGACGAACACCGATTTTAGTCACGTCGGGCGATATCTGGCCCAGCAGGGCGGGTACCATGCCCACAAATGCACCCGATGCAAACCCGTACAACATGCTGAAGACGATATAGACGGCTGCACTACCTGGTGAGAGAAGAGTGCCAGGAAGCCAGAGGGCTAGAATAACGATGGCAGACAAGGAGCACATGGTGATCATGACGTTGAATCGGCCCAGTTTGTCTCCTAGGTAGCCTGGCAGAATTCGACCAGGGAGACTGCAGAATACGTTAGCTCTACCATGGCCTTCTCATCCTAATATAAAATAATGAGTAGCACTCACCTGGCGGCATTAAGTATAGTCAACAAGTACCCAGCTAGGCTGGGGTTGACTCCATCCTCCTGGGCTTCTACGACGACATAACTGATTGGCACAAACATGGCGAAGAATCCGCAGCAAGATGCCAGCATAAGCAAGATAAACGGTACCTCCGAAAACGGGCTCGTATAGTCGCTCAGCTTCACTGGCCGCGGAACATTTCGTATTCTCGATCGGACAGTCAGGTTGGCAATGATCAGGAGTGCGAGGATGATAAATCCAGAGATACGTAGAGACCACCCGAACCCGATACTAGGCAAGAGCCGAGACAACATGGTTGGGAACACAACGCCACCTAGTGACGAGCCGCTGGAAACGATTCCAAAGGCCAAGGCACGTCGTTTCTCGAACCATGTTGCGGTACAAGAGAGTGCAGACGAGAAGACGAAGCTTGCACCAAGAGGACTGCAGATTCCCTGGGCTAGCAAGAATTGATAGTACTCCGTCGATATGGAGGTCATCATAATACCAAAGACGTGAAGACATGTCCCGATAAGGAGAAGCCATTTCGGGCCATAATTATCGAATACCTGAAAGAAAATAGGTTAACATGTATACCTCTTAGGGTTGATGGGGCTAGAATTACTCTTCCGATGACAATTCCGGCCGCAAAGAGTACAAATGGCTCCAAAGATAGAATCCATGAGATGCTGGACGCGGAAAAAGAATGTAATTGGTTGTTCTGGTAGTATTCTTGGAAAATACCAATGGCTGGGACAAAGCGTGTCAGGTTATCCGGTCGGCATAATAAATACTAGGAATAGGGAAGAATCTCACCATTCACCCAGCCAAAAGCGCAAAATAGACAGCACCATGCTCCAAAGACGACTGTCCAAGCGCGAAGCCCTTGATCCAACTGTCCAAATTGTTCCTCCTCACTCCCAGAGACAGCCACCGTGGTTTTCGATTCCGTGGTTGCCATGTCTAGAACAAATCTGGATGTTGAGACAACGTCTCGAGCAGAAAGGAGGAAAAAATGATAAAAAAATGAATTTCAGAGGACGCTATCTGAGAGCTAAAAATTTTCTATCTACTTCCCCAGAGCCTCTAGGGCTGTAACATGTGACCCCCCGATAACTAACAGTACTGAGTCAACACGAGTGATGGGGATTAGGAATACCAACCATTTTTCACCCGCAGCATAGCTGCAGCAATAATGCGGTGAATGTATTTAAAAGAGTATTTATCCACTTCTTTCCAACCTAGTGAGGGTTCTACAATATAAGGACAAATGACTCATTTTGCCAAGGAAAGATATAGCTTGGGATTAATTACGGAGTCCGGATCCAGTGAGACATAATTCTTCTCTCTGCCCGCTTCACACTATGGCGGGATCAGACTCCTTCGGCTGCACTAAAATAGCCAGGATTCGGCGATCGTCCATTTGCCTAGGGTTGCAAGGTGCACACGTGCTCTTTTTCCCCCTAGTATTATTACTCGGACATCAAAATCTACATCTACTTGACTATAGGTAGTGAGAGAAAGATCTTTATAGTTGCTTGATAGACGCTAAAACGAAAAGTACCGCAGGACTAAAGTTACCTCGCGCGGATCCAGCCTAGTCTAAATTAAGCGAGTTGAAAGACATCTAGGCTTGCAAGGATGCCCTTTTAAGTGTATAATTGTAAGTTAGCTTAGGGCAAAGATTAGACTAAAAATCTCTGGTTTTACATAACAGATTTCATAAACAGATATCGAGGCATAGGTTGTATACGCGAATGGTTGCCTCCCTCACTTGAACTAATAAATTCCGTTGCGGAATTGAATATCTCTTGGCAATAAAAAAAACTGGTTGATAGTTATACTTCCCCATTAGAGGTTCACCTTAGAAACTCCATACCCTTTATATGTCATATGATGCTTTGGATTTTGATTTTTTTTAAAGGAAAAATAAGAATTAACAGAGTGAAAAAAAAAAAGTTATTTTGCTTCATATTGTATGTCTATCTTATAGCGGCGTATTGCTTCACGAAAGGGAAAAGGATATCTACAGGAAATAATGAGTGGTCTAGGCTAATGTTGCCTTATTAGTCCAATATAACAGGGATGCTAATAACTAGGTGCAGGACAATATGTGAAGAACGTTACCACAACCTCGACGGGATATGTCCAAGGATTTGAACCCATCATAATAGGCCGAATACGTTGAGGATTATCTCATGGGGAGACGTGAGCCGCATCATCTGACCACCGGTGAAAAGTTGAAGGTGGAAACCCCAATACACGCTGTTGATTTGGCGACTCTGATGCAGAGCAAAGCTTATGAACTGACAGCTAGCGGGATTGGTATTCATGAGAGGAGGTCCTTCTGGGAACTCTAAGAAACCTGGGCACGTTTGAGAGAATCAAATTCCTTGCGGGTTATCGGAGATGTGAAATACTATAAAACACCACGCCCACAGACTGGCGTACCAGAAAGTGGCTGAGCATATGCTTGCACCGTATAATGGGGTCTTATTCACAAGCAATGGTTATGTGCTGCTGTCTGGGGTCCAAAAAAGCATTCGTTATCAAAATTGGGAGAGTGGTAGGGGAGTAAATATTTAGCAGATGATCAAAGACCTTGAAGCTGGTGTTGATACACACTACTAGCTATGGGGCATTGCTGTAATCAAGGTGTATTCATGTAGCCTGGAACGAATATGTAATTAACTCCCACGGTTATGTACAACTCTGACATGATTAGGTTGTCTGGGGCATGGCACGGCCCGAGGATCCGGTGCGGACCCGCCCAACAGCACTGTGTAACCTAAGGTTCAACCACCTTGGTTCACGAGTTATATGTACAAGAATAGTCGACCGGTTATGCGGCCTTGTGATATCTGTTTTGATGGCCAAAGGCGGTAAAAATAAGTATACTCTGTGGGAAAGACCTCTATGTATAACCTTCGATGTTCAGCACATAATTCTCTCACTAAATGAGATGTCATCAAAAGATAGTGTATAAACTAGTGGACAGCCGTATAGCTCGTATTCTACGTGTATATGATTTCTTTCTTGACGAGAAAGGTTGGGGTTATATTGTGATGGAGTTTATAGAAGAAAAGGTCATCGATCCTTGCACTTATCGTGGCCTTCTATTCCTTGAAACTGAAGACCTGGTTTTCGACAGTCTTAGGCGGATGGAGGAGTGTTTCAATAGCCGACTTTTCGTGTAACCCGGCCCTAACTGCTCTGTCATCTGGATATTACACCTCGGAAGATTATAAAGATTATACAGTAAGAAGATGACTCTCTATGCCTTGTTGATTGGGTATCTGCGGAATTCTATCCAAGGTTGTTTGAGTTCTGTATGCAGTGGATATTTGATGGAAAAGGTGGAAACTTCAATTCCCTTCTCTTGGAGTCGGCTTTGCCAGATCATGAGATGGCGCAGAAAGAGGCTGTTCTGTGTGCGTGGAGGAACATCCAAAGTGTCCATTGTAAGTCTAGGGAGCTTCAGGTACTCCTCGGTTAATGCTCCTCTCTTTTCAGCCGAAGCAAAATGTCAACATCACGCCGAGGATTATCGAGACATTAGACAGATATTCTCCTGGTGCCCGCTCATCCAATGCTAGAATACCATCTTGAATGGTATGGAAATGCTGGGTGTGAATGCTCTCTACTGACGAGTTTAGGATCCCTGGCCAAGTCGCCTTCTATGGCCGTGACCCTAGAAAAAGCCTTACTGGAGGACAGCTTGGAGCATATGGTGGTCACAATCGCCTTTTGGGTGTGTTTTTGTGGGAACCTCGAATATTATGAAGGAATCCTGTGGAAGACCTGCTACTGTTCGCCGTGCACAACTTCGACATTTGGAATCGATGGTCCTTAATAGGCGAGAGGTCAGTTGTTCCAGATTATTGGGTAGATTATTTACTCACTAAGATTAGATCAAAAATATCACATCGGTTGCGCACGCATTGGCTAGCGACGATGGGCACCAGGCAGGAAACGAAATTGATGCTTTGCAATATCCCTACATATCTAAGGTCATGCTGGGAAAAGTCCTCTATACAATCTATATCTAGAAAGTCTCTAAAAAGACATCTAAAAAGACTCTCGTTTTGTATAGGTCGAGGATCTGCATTTTTATAGTATCTTGCATTCAAGTCTTATATATCTTTGTAATATTCGCAGTGTACAGACTCGAAAGATCTCTGCTGATCCTAAATTAATGCTAAAAGCAAAGCCATCAATTGCTGGAATTCTGGGTATGCAAGTTTCTGGGTATGCTCCATTGTAGCTGTTCAAATTCTGCTAATCGTTTGGTAGTTAGTGCTGATGTGGATGACGGGCAATATGCGTCCTTCAATAATAGCCCACCAGTGACAGTTCACAGTGACATGTGGGACCGTGGTAACTATTGGTTAGTTTCTTGTTTCAGGATCAATATGACACGACTCAGGATATTAGTTCTGGTAGCAGAAACTCCATGCTTCTCTTCCAAATGTTTTGTAAAAGAAGGCAGGTGACTGCACTCTGTTGGTGCTTATGGGTCCATGAAGTCATGTGCTCCGAATGCAACAAGTGAGCACGAAAATAGAAAGAGAAAAAGTGCGAGCGCCAGATATTATCCGGTGTGATATGCAAGGATTGAGAAATCGTGATCAATCAAGCACAGACCGACATGCATGAGCTTCAATATTGGAAAGTATTACGTCTCCATGAAGTACACAGATCAGCCACATTGATAGTCTAGTCCAAGACCGGCGACTACATGCATGTTGAAAATGAAATTCTCAATTTCGGATTCAACATTCATTGCTCATATGTGCAGATGGCAAAGGGTGTGGCAGAGATAGTATGACAGGAAAATTTGAAACAAAAGCAAGAAAAAGCCAGCCAAAGCCAGATGAGAGCAAGCGTAATAGAAAGAAATCACAGAAAATACCAGATTCAAATCCAGCGTACCAAGTCTACTGCGAGCCTGGATCTATGGTAAAGGGAATTTGAGGTTGAGGGTGTCGTAGAGCAAAACATGGAAATTTTAGGATATCGGAGAAAATGAAAAAAAGAGTTTAGGCAGCGATCAATCATACTGGAAGAGAACGCTGATACTTTCACCGTGGTGCACACGGCGGATAGCCTGGATATAAGTCAGTATATTATGTGGAATCAACCGGACGAATGGGACTCACCTCGCCGAAAACGTGGCCGACTTCCAGGACCTCGAGCTTCGGGCAGCGGCGCAAGTGCTCAACTTGATCCACGCTGTTGGTCACAACGACCTTGTCAAGGGCACTGGCGTTGATGCGCTCGATGGCGTCGCCACTGAGGATACCGTGGGTGAGAAGGGCATATACCTGAGATGCGCCTTCCTTCTTGAGCAACTTGGCAGCACGAGTAATCGTATTCGAGGTGTCCGCCAGATCATCAATCAAAATGGTTATCCGATCACGGACATCACCAACCAACATCATGGTGGCATTCTGGCGGTCAGTGATTTTGGTGGGGCGGCGCTCCTATGATATTGTTAGAAAATTACAGGGAAATTCAAGCGCTCGATAAGCCTACCTTGTGGATAAGGGCAAACTCCATGCCCATTTGGTCAGCAATTGCCGTAGCGCGCTTGGCACCTCCGGCATCGGGGCTGACAATGACAGCCTGCTTGTAATTTGGGATGTTGCGCTGAATGTAGCTCTTCAGAAGAGGTCGGCCGTAGAGGTTGTCGACCGGGATATCAAAGAATCCCTGGTACTGCGGGTCGTGCAAATCCATGGTGATGATGTGATCGGCGCCGGCGCAGGTAAGGAGGTCTGCCACCAGGGTGCCGGCCTGTGCAACCCACTGTTTGTAACCAGGACGAGGCTGGAAGGAATTGATCTTGGAGGAGGCGCTGCTCGCGGTGTCGTCGGTACCGTTGGTCAAGGACTTGAGGGAATCCGCTGTGTCGCTGCGGGGCAGACCGTTGCCCCGCCTCTTCACGGGGCTTCCAGTGCTCTCTTCAATTTGAGCCCTGGCAAGGCCCCTCTGGAGGCTTTCCATTCCATTCATCAAGCCCAAGCCTTCACCTTTTCCACCCGGAGCCGGGGTCGAGGGGGTGCTCTCGAATGTATAGCCATTGGCGGGTTTGCCCCCCACGGATGCCTTGACGAGAGGAGCACCAGCCTTATCGTAAGGAATGTCACTCTGACGGGAGTAAGGGAAAAGAGGGAGGACAGCGGTGACTCGCCGGGCTGAGGCGGTCTTGCAGGCGGAAATAGTGATGAGAAGCTCTAGCAGGTGGTCGTTGACTTTACCACCGCCGGACTGAATAATGTAGACATCCTTTTCACGGACAGATTCTTGGATTTCGACTCGAGTCTCACCCACAGCGAATTTTGAGAGTAGAACCTCCGCGGGAGGAATGCCGAGAACACCGCAGATGCTCTGAGTCAACTGAGGGTGGGAGTTGCCTCCGATAACAACAAGATTGCGAACCATAGTGTTTTTGTTTGTGGGTATATCGCCGGGATTGGAAGTAGGAAGGATCGAAGAGAAGGGGGCTCGATCTGAAGGAAATCAGATTTGGAGGGATCGGGTGGAGGGGGAGGAAAATCTGGGGGACGATTTCGGTGAACAGTCAAGAGAATAAAATATAGAGATAGAAGAAAAGTAAAGCGATTCTTGGATTGAAGAGAACAAATGCTACCTCATAGCGGAGCAAGAATCGAGACTTCGAGGGGACAAAGACATAAAACAAAAAAAAAAAAAAAATCCCGATGAGAGTCCCGCGATGGGAAAAAAAGCCTCTTTGGAGTGGAGCGGACCTGTGATTGATGCCTCAGGTGGCAAATAACCCGGATCAGGTAAAGCGTTATGTCGTGACGAGCGCCCCGCAGAAAACGGCCTTGGAATTGTTTCTGAACAGGAACGCAGTAAATGGTCAGCAGGTCTACTGCTTCGGATTTTCCATTGCCATAGATGTACATGATTTCGGTTCAAATCACCAGTCGCTTTGGAAATCATAAAAAGAAACATCTAAAAAGACGACTAAAAAGACGGCTAAAAAGACATGACAAGGCCGCATAAGCGGGACTATTCTTGTACTAAGAAAAACATAATAGAACTTGGCATAACTCATAACTCTCCCGCCGAGTGCAGTTTGCTCCGGGAATCCGTCATTCGCCCGTTCCAACCTCCCTATAATAGAGTTAGTATCACAATTCCAGTATCCAAATGCGGGTTTGCAGGTTTGCAGGTTTGAGGCTCACAAGTCAAGTTGAACTCCGTTGCTCACTCCATAATCCTCCAGTGTAAGTTGATCTTTAAAAGGGCGCTCGCCTTGGCGTTTAAGAAGGATTTCGTGGGGTTCACGGCCGATTCGAGCTGCCACTTGGGCTTTGAATAGCTCTGCATAGAATGTTAGCACGCTGGTGGCGATCAACAATAGATAAAAAATATAAAAAAACAAGACGTACTAATCGGATCTGAGGCAAGACAAGGGATCGCGGCTTTGGTTCCCAGACGATCATTGACATGGACCACAATCATAGGCTCTGAGGATTGAGGAGCGACCGGCTTCTTCTTTTCTTTCTTCACTTTCTTTTCCCGGTCTTCACGCGGCGCATCTCGATTGTCACGTTGTTGGGCCCGGTCGCGGTCGCCATCTCTCGGTCTGTCTCCATAGCGGTCGCCCTCTCGGTCACGTCGTGGTGATCGTGGTCGGTCTCGGTATCCTCGTTCTAATCTGCGATCATCGCCGCGGGAATCGTCAGTGCGGCTTTTGTCCTTCCACCGAAAGCCCCCGGTCGTCTTTCTGGGGCGCTCTCTATCGTGGTTTTCTCTCGCACGAGGAGACCTGCTTCGTGATCGGTCGGCCATGACTGTGGATGGAGAAAAGATGGAGTTCGTAGGTGCCCGACAAGCCCAGATGCAATCCAAATGAAGCTGTGAGGCACGTGACGAGATGCAGCTGCCAGTGGAGTAAGCTAGTCCCAAATTAGATTGGTGTGTTTTGTTCACATCAGGAGCTCTCCTGTCTAAAGTACGTTCGAATATCTCCGCACTTTTGATCTACCTCTTGAATAAGCAGGCTGCAATGCAAATTTTCAATTGACTCCGGCATTTTTGCTATCTTTTACCTAACTCCTCCATACCCAAAATGCCCAGCCGACTAGAAGTTCAGCGTCCCTCTCCGACGACCGTCTCCTTCACGGTATCGAATGCGCCGCAGCGGTCGAGTTCCCCCGCCAAAATCCTATTTGGTCTCCAGGTACTGCTACGTGCGGCTTTGTTTTTCTGTGTGATTGCTGTCGCCATTGCGCGCGTCCGGAATTTCGTCTTCCAAGAAGATGGGAGGGTGATAAGCTGGCCAGCTGTGTGGTCAAGCCCGCTGGGATCCAAACTATGTCGCTTGGTGGATTCATACAACCCCCTAGCAATTGCCGTGGTTAGTGCATTGGTGATATACGGTGTTTTCAGAAGAGGTTACATTGGTAGGTTCAAAGAAAAAAAAGGGGGAGGGTTGTTAGATCTGTGCATGGCTGATTGTTCGACAGAGGAGTCGCTCTTGGTTATTCGAGGCTTCGGAATCCAGACCTCAACATCGTCCTCGACATATCTTTCTACTGCCTCAACGAGGTTCATTCCTACCACGCAAATCCAGG